AACAACAACAAACAAAAAAAAATGGAAAAATGTCCTCGGGTGAGGATAAAAAAAAAATTAAATTAAAAAAAAAAAAAAAGCTTTGCCCTGGCCAGTTTGGCTCAGCCGTTAAAGCGTCGGCCTGCGGTCCAGAGAGATCCGGGTTTGGTTCCCGCTAAGGGCACGTACTTTGGTTGCAGTTTGTCCCCGGCCCTGGTTGGGTTGTGTGGGAGGCAGCCACTCGATGTGTCTCTTTCACATCGATGTTTCTCTCTCTCTCTCTCTCTCTCTTCCTCTCTCCCCCTCCCACTCTACGTGAACAAAAAATGGAAAAATGTCCTCAGGTGAGGATAAAAAAAAAAAAAAAGCTTTGTTCAAAGATGATTCTCAAAAAGCAATGGCTAGAAAAGCTGAGATAAAAGAAGTAAGAAGGCTCATACCAAGGTCACATGGAGCTTATTTTAATGAAGTTCAGGGGCAGCCCAATTACATTTTTTAAAAAATTTTCCCCTTTTCTTTCTTTGTGGTTAGTATTTAAAATGTATGTTTTTTAAAGATGTATAACACACCTGAAAAAAAGTGTGCAGATCATAAGTATACAACTTGGAAGAATTTTCACAGTATAGCCATCACCAAGATCAAGAAACAGAATTACATTATGAGCATCCCAGAAACCTTCCTCTTGCCCCCTCCCAATCACTACCTCCCTCTTCTCCAAAGGTCACCACTATCCTGACTTCTAACACCATAAATTACTTTTACACGTTCATGTATATCAATGTAAATGTAGTTTGTTTTTTAAAAAGCAGAATCAGAAAATAAAAGGCAAAAACATTCATACACATGACCATTTGGAACGTTTTTTGTGATTAAGCTAAAAGTCTTAAGAAAAGGCTATTCTTTCACCTACAAATACTAAAAGAAAGGGTTGGTCAATGGATAAATGGATATACACACACAGTAGAATACTACTCAGCCATAAAAATAAAATAAAATTTAGCTATTTGTGATAATATGGATAGACCTTGAGGGTATTACGCTAAGTGAAATAAGTCAGAAGGAAAAAGACAAATACCTCACTCATATGTGTAATCTAACAAAACAAAATAAACAAACTTAAGTATACAGAAAATGATCGGTGGTTACCAGAGGGGAAAAGGGAGTAGGGGGAGCAAAAGGGGTACAGGGAGTCAACTGTATGGTGATGAATAGTAACTAGAGTTTGTGGGTGATCACTTTGTAGTATATGCAGATGTCAAATTATAATATTATATACACAATTACGCATAGTACATAATATTAGATAATGATAATAAACATCTATGTCACTGGTTTATATTTTTATTGTACTTATAAAAAGTGTTTGCTGCAGCCTGGCCAGTATGGCTCAGTGGTTGAGCATCAACCCTGCACCAAGAGGTCGCCAGTTTGGCTCCCGGTCAGGGCACATACCCAGGTTGTGGGCTGGATCCCCAGTAGGGGGGCATGCAGAAGGTTCTTTCTCATCGATGTTTCTATCTCTCTCTCCCTCTCCTTTCCTCTCTCTTGAAAAATCAATAAAGATTATACTAACAGTATATGTAGATGCCTCACAGTGTAAAATTAGATTCATATCTCCCTCCTTCCACTTCAGCACTCCTCCATCTCCTCTACCTCACGAATCCTTTTTTCAAAGCTGATGACATTTACATCCCTGCTCTTAAGCCTTCTCTGGTGCATCCTGGGATTGATTCTGAAAAGAAAATCAATAAATAGTGTGACTGTGTAGGTCTCCTTTCCTGTAGAGTCAAACTATGTCCCGATTACAGCTCAGTTCTCATATCAGATGGTATCTTCCTGGAGCTTTTACCTGCCTTTCTCTTACACTGTCTTTACCATGGTCCCATTTGTTTGCAGACTACTCACTGTACTAGATATTAAATATTTTTAAAGGAAGCAAGCCTAATTATGCAAGTGTGTTCAATTTTTAAAACTTCATCAAGCTATACATCTCTATGTGCACTTTTCTGTGTTTATGTTATACTCCAATTTAAAAAGTTATAAAGAAAGCATTCCCCCTTCCCTCATAAATTGTGAAGAAAGAAATGCCAAGGGAGAAATAATTTTGTAGAGCACACTTACATATTTCTATTAAGTTTATCAGCCATACTATTATAGTACTTCAATATATAGTTAATATATGATAGTACAGCATATTATGTTAAGTTTATCAGCTCTACTATTAACAAAATGGATCTTGTAGACAGCATAATATCTATCTGCTAACACTGATAATAATAACAACAGCTAACAGATGTTTATTGAGCACTTCCTAAATGCCAGACATTGCCAAATGCTTTATATTATCACATGTAATCCTCACAACAACCCTGTTATTATCATCTTGTTATTATTACAACATTACATTGTTATCATACCATTATAGATTACTACATTGAAGTTTTGAGAAGTAATTTGCCAAAAGTCACACAGGCACCTTAATAATGACTAATAATTTTTGAGCAGACACTATAGATCTGACACTATTCTAAGCACTAAGTATATTGACTTAAATACTCAAAACAATGAGTTAAATAGTGTCATTATCCACACTCAGCATATGAGTTAATTGAAGCACAGAGAAAATAAGCAAATTTGTCTAAGGTCACCCAGCTGGTAAGTGACCCCACTGGGCTATGAACGCAAGCAGTCTGGCTCCAGAATCTAACCTCTGACCTATACACCACTCAGGGGTCACAGTAGAAATTTGAACTTAAGCAGTTTGACTTCAGAAACTATGCTATTTATTATCCTGCTTTCCTGCCTGGCAATCAGATCAATTGACATTTATTTTATTTATTGATTTTTTAGGGAGAGGGAGAGAGAGATAGAAATATCGATGAGAGAGAGAACATCAATTGGCCACCTCCTACATGCCCCTCATTGGGGATTTGGCTCAGAGGGGAAGGCCATGTGCCCTAACCTAGAATCGAACCGGCAACCTCTTGGTGCATGGGTCAATGCTCAACCACTGAGCCACACCAGCCGGGCTCAACTGACATTTAGATAAGGAGCGCATGGACGTCATTCTCATTCTGCACATTGACAGGAAGGGAAGCAGTGAACAAGTGGCAAGTTCAAATATAGGGTGGAGCAAAAGTAGGTTTATAGTTGTTCATATGGCAAATAATATAATAATGAATAAATAATATAAGAATAAACTGTATTTCATGTACTCACAACTGTAAACCTACTTTTCCCCCCACCCTAAATTGTGTTGTTTCTTTAAAACAGCTAATACTCACCTCCAAATCACCTCTACCATCAGACTTCCCTAACTGCATCTCTCTACTGCCAATGCATTTTGCGAATACTTCTCAAATAGCATTCACTACAAAGCATTCTTTTGTGTGAGAACAGGGAGGTCTGCAAGCTCCTCAAGGCCAGAGACTGCCCATCCCAGGCTTGTCATATAGGAGGCCCTAACACTGACTTTATGAGCAACTGATGTCTCCTCATGCGGGGTGCTGCACATCCACCCCAGGAGTACTCACCCTGTTTAATGCCAATCTTGCCCACTGACTTTTGACTACAAGGGCAGGAGCCATCTATTCCTAGCACAGTGTCTGGAACACAGGAGACCATCTTAATATATTTGTTGAATGAATAAAGATCTGATGCATACAACTTAACAAAAGGAAGACAAAGAACCCAATTAAAAAATGGGCAGAGGACCTAAATAGACACCTCTCCAAACAGGACAGAGAAAGGGCAAGAGACATATGAAAAAATGCTCAGCATCACTAATCATCAGAGAGATGCAAATTAAAACAACAATGAGGGCCCTGGCCGGTTTGGCTCAGCAGTAGAGCGTCGGCCTGTGGTCCAGAGAGACCCAGGTTCGGTTCCCACTAAGGGCACGTACCTCGGTTGCAGTTTGTCCCCGGCCCTGGTTGGGTCGTGCAGGTGGCAACCACTCGATGTGTCCCTTTCACGTCGATGTTTCTCTCTCTCTCTCCCTCCTCAGTCTATCTGAACAAAAAATGGAAAAATGTCCTCAGGTGAGGATAAAAAAAAAAAAGCTTTGTATCACTTCACACCTACCAGAATGGCTGCCATCAACAAATCATCAAACAAGTGCTGACAAGGGTGTGGAGAAAAGGGGACTCTAGTACACTGCTGGTGGGAATGCAGACTGGTGCAGCCACTATGGAAAATACTATGGTGTTACCTCAAGAAATTAAAAATTGATCTGCCATTTGACCCAGTGATTCCACTTCTAGGAATATACCCTAAGAAGCCTGAAACACCAATCAGAAAGAATATATGTACCCCCATGTTCACAACAGCACTATTTACAATAGCTAAGATGTCCATCAGTAGATGAGTGGATAAAATAGCTGTGGTACATATACATAATGGAATTCTATGCAGCTGTAAGAAAAAAAGATCTCTTGCCCTTTGAGATGACATGAAGGGACCTGGAGAGTATCATGTTGAGCAAAATAAGCCAGTCAGAGAAAGACAAGTACCACATGATCTCACTTATTTGTGAAATATAATGAACAAAACAAGCTGAGGAACAAAATAGACCCAGAGACATGGAAGTGGGGTGCCGACTGACAAACCCCAGAAGAGGTGGATGTGGGGGGAGGGAAGAGATAAACCACAGAACTTTTACTCATGTATGTGTAAACAAGGACATAGACAATAATGCTGGGGAGGGCGGGAGTGGGAGGAGGGTATCAATGGGGAAAAAAGAGAAACATCTATAACAAAAATAAATAAATTTTTTAAAATTTCTTTTAAGTTGATTAACTTTTCAAAGCAGTTGTCAACTTTCAGAACAATAAATATGTCTATAATGTATCCTATTTGTAAAATCCTGAAAATAAAATAATCACCTTTGTTTAATCCTCAAAAAATAAAAATAAAAAAATAAAGTATTGAATACCTTAGTTCAAATTTAAAAAAAAGAATAAAGATCAGATGCTTGAAAACCCAGAAGGGTATAAGTTTATAAAGAAAAATTTCATGTTTACCTCAATAACGCATATTTGGGGCTCCTCCTTATGACCATCCACAGGCACCATGGCTTGATTCATAACCCACTCCTGGACAGCATCAGTAATATGCGGGACAACTGCAAAAAGAAATAATTAGTACAAACGCATATATCATGGTCATGAAAAAGGAATGTAGATCTCCCAAATAATCTGGCAGCCATCTGGCAAATTAGACAAGCTACAGTCCTAATGCTAGCATCTTCCTTCACTTAAATTAGTACTGCAGGCAAGTATAGATTTAGTCATTTAAATGTTAGGCCTTTTCTCTTGAAACTGAGCAACCCCAGAGAACAAGAAACAGAAAACAGAAATGCCATCTTCAGTGCAACTAGAAAACACCTTTAATACCAATGAAAAACTGTGCAAGGAGGACTCCCTAGGGTGCTGAATGCTAGGCTTCACAAAAGGACACAGAGTGGCCGGGCCCTGCAGACCCTGGGCAGCCCACTAGCCAATGGAGAGTGGGCCACTCAGGAGGATACAGATGAGGTTTTTACTGCTGACCAGGGGCCAGCAAATGCTAATGTCAGCTGAAGAGGACAAAAGGTAACATCTCCACAAGCACGTGAGGCTCAGGAGTCCCTTGGGTGGTGAGCAGGCCTGCAGTTGGCAATCTCAACCGAAGAAACAAAAAGTGATAGCCACATGAGTGCATGGGGACTCAGCCCAGCTACCTAATGTGATGGCAGGAAGTAGGAACACAAGCTTTCAGGAAGCTGAGGCGAAGGTACATCCATCACCTGCACCACTTCACAGGTGTGTAGCTCCACAAAGCAAGAGGGAGTCGTCTTTGATTGGTGCTTTTGGAAGGAGCTACTACATATGCCCGGCCCACCCCTTTCTGGAAGGATGAGGTTGGTGGGGTTCTGCCTCCATGCCTGCAGCACAGGAATCAGGGTTCAGGACCCAAGTGTGGGGCCTTGCCCTCTCCTCCACGATTGGAACATGGCAGGTATGAGGCAGCAACTGTCCCTCCCATGGGTCTTCCCAAGACCTACACTCAGGGGGAAACTATTAGAAAACACAGTTGTACTGGAGATCTATGCCACACCATCCAGTTTGGGCAATAACATAGTTGATCTTTTGATCGCCATCTGTCGTAGTCCTACATCTGCTTCTCAGCTGGTTCCAATGAAAGTGATTTAAAGGGGATGGGGAATTATCCCCTTTACCCTACCATGTAGGATTCTTTGAGGACAAGACTTCAGAGGTGCCAGGGGGAGATCTCTTCTAAGACAAAAGAGAACCATACCATCCAGGGAAAGGGTTGATGAAAAAGGTCAGACCATGCTACCTGCCACTCTAGTTCAATCCCCCAGTCCCTCCCTAAACCTCTCCTCCTTCAGAGGGAAATACTTACCAGGCATGATGCAAAGATACAAGAAAAAAATGAGATAAAAGAACACATTAAATAAAAGACAGAAAAAAACAAACAAACAAAACAACAACAAAAAAGAACTACACCCCAGTCAGGTAAAAAAGATGAATAAATGCCTTGCCATGGGTTTGATAAATAAAAGCTAGCGAGCCCTGGCCAGTTTGGCTCAGCGGTTAGAGTGTCGGCCTGCGGTCCTGAGAGACCCAGGTTCGGTTCCCGCTAAGGGCGCGTACCTCGGTTGCAGTTTGTCCCCAGCCCTGGTCGGTTGTGCGGGTGGCAACCACTCGATGTGTTCCTTTCACATCGATGTTTCTCTCTCTCTCTCTGTTCCTCTCTCTCCCTCCCACTCTGTCTGAACAAAAAATGGAAGGATGTCCTCGGGTGAGGATAAAAAAAATAATAAAAAAATAAAAGCTAGCAAGAGAGGTATAGACTAAGTGAAACAATGGCATTAGTAAAAAAGACTGATGAAACTAAATCAGGAACATGGAGGATGAACTTGACACTTTTAAGGAAAATGAAAAGGAAAAGAACACAGGCATTTGAAAATCATTAGAACTTGTGAAGTGCAGGGACCTCCTCATTGTCTCGTCTATTTTGAGCAGGGTGTGGGTGCTCAGCACAAAAGGATCCCCTAATGTTTGTGGAATGCAATACCTTGTACAGTTTTCCCCAGGTAGTCACCACGTCTCTCTTTATTAATCACATGCTGATATATCTTCCCAGTGGTGATGTTGTTGTCTTTATAAAGATTAATATCCAAGAACCTTTCGTAATTTCCAAGGTCTAAATCAACTTCTCCACCATCATTTAAGACAAACACTTCTCCTAGAAGAAAAGCAATGTAAAATTTTCTAATTTGCTTCCAGTGGACTATTTTTCAAAGACAGACACATTTTATTAAAAAGCTGCTAAGAGACTTATTTATAAGCCATATTCTATCACCAGTGCATTATTTTTTTCTCCTCACCTGAGGATATGTTTATTGGTTTTTAGAGAGAGAGAGAGAGCAACATTGATGTGAAAAACATCGATGGTTGCTTCCCGCATATGCCCCGACGGGATTGAACCTGCAACTTTTTTTTTTTTTTCCGGTGTACAAAACAATACTCCAACCAACTGAGCTACCCGGCTAGGGCACCATTTCAATTTTTTCATAGGAAAACTTAATTCAATTATATCATCAGAAAAATTCCACTTTCCTATTATGGCATTTTTTTAAATGCTTACTGAAATTCTGTCTTCAAGATTTAGCTTCCAAACTAATCATATGAAAAAGGATCTTTAAAATAGCAAGTTTAAAAACTAATAGCAATTTACTTCAAAGCATTGATATCCTGGACTCTGGAATTGGCATAAGACAGTTTTCATTGGCGGTCAAGATGGCAGTATAGGTAAACGTGGTATTGCGTCCTCCCACAACCACATCAAAGTTACAACTAAACTACAGAACAACCATCATTCAAAACTGCCTGAAAGCAAGCTGAATGGAAGTCCTACAACTACGGAATTAAAGAAGCACCTGCATCAAGACTGGTAGGAGGGGTGGAGGCAGACTGGCTGGTCCCACACCCATGTGTGGCGGATAAAAATTAGAAGGACACCTTGGCTGGGAAGGTCCTCCTTGAGGACTGAGGGGTCCGCTTCTCACATGTGGCACCCAGCTCAGGATTCCAGTGCCAGGAAGAGAAGTCCTCATCACTTCTGCCTGGAAAAACCAGCGGGAACTGAGGCTGAGGGAGGCTGAGGTGGCTGGAGCCTCAGGCAGCTCCTCTTAAAGGGCCCACACGCAAAATTACTCGGACTCGCACCCTCCAGGCTCCAGCATGGTGGAGGCCGCTTGAAAGGTACCAGAGACATACAGGGAAGAACTGCGCTGTTTGTCATTGGAGCGAGGGCTGGAGAGGCAGCTTTCTCCTGGACAGACATGCAGTCAGAGGCCTTTGTTCCTTTGATGAGCCCTTCCTGGGGCAGCAGACAACTGCCATATCTGGGACTCCAGCAACCTGGTTCACACTGTTTGCCCCGCCCTGGTGATTCCCTGAGGCCCCGCCCCACCCAACTTTCAGGCCCACCCAAGCTGTTGCCAGATGCTTTACCATAGGATTGGCCTGTCTTGGATCCTGCTTCAGGTTTCCCTAAATTCTTTCAAACAAGCAGCATCTGGTCTTAGCTAGCCCCATACCTCTCGTTAAGTAATACACAGAAACAAACACAGGGAGGCAGCCAAAATGAGGAGATAAAGAAACAGGTTCCAAATGAAAGAACAGAACAAAACTCCAGGAAAAGAACTAAGCGAAATGGAGATAAGCAACCTAACAGATGCTGAGTTCAAAATACTGCTTATAAGGATGTTCAATGAACTCAGTGAGGATCTCAATGATCTTAGTGGGGGCATCAAGAGCATAAAAAAGGAGCAGTCAGAAATGAAGGATGCACAGTCAGAAATGAAGGAGGTACTAACTGAAACAAAGAATAATTTACACAGATTCAGTAGTAGAGTAGGCAAAGCCAAGAAGAAAACCATCGATTTGGAATATAAGGAAGCAAAAAACACCCAATCAGACAGCAAAAAAATAAAAAAGAATCCAAAAAAATGAGGATAGTGTAAGGAGCCTCTGGGACAACTTCAAGCATACCAACATTCACATCTTGGGGGTGCCAGAAGGAGAAGAGAGAGAACAAGAAATCAAAAACCTATTTGAAACAAGAATGGCAGAAATCTTTCCTAACTTGGTGAAGGAAACAGACATACAAGTCCAGAAAGCACAGAGTCCCAAACAAAATGAACCCCAAAAGGCCCACACCAAGACACATCATCATCAAAATGCAAAAGGTTCAAGACAAAGAGAGAATCTTAAAAGCAGCAAGAGAAAGGCAGCTAGTTACCTACAAGGGAGTTCCCATTAGGCTGTCAGCTGATTTCTCAAAAGAAACTTTGCAGGCCAGAAGGGAGTGGCAAGAAATATTCAGAGTGATGAAAAGCAAGAACCTACAACCAAGATTACTCTATCCTGAAAAGCTGTCATTTAGAATCGATGGCCATATAAAGAATTTCCGAGACAAGAAAAAGCTAAAGGAGTTCATCACCACCAAAACCAATATTGTATGAAATGTTGAAGGGTCTTCTTGAAGAAAAAGATAAAATATATGAACAAACAAAATGGCAATGAATACATATCTATCGACAATGGAATCTACAAACAAAATGAACAGGCAGAACAGAAGCATTCTCATAGATACAGAGAACATTTTGTTGGTTGCCAGTTGGGAGGGGGGTTGGGGGAATGGGTGAAAAAGGTGAAGGGATTAAGAAGTACAAATTAAACTGACAAACCTCAAAGGGAAGGGGGGGGGTGGATGTAGGAAGAGATAAACCAAAGAATTTATATGCATATATGCATAACCAATGGACACAGACAACAGTGTGGGGAAAGGCAGGAGGGGAGCGGGTGTGGGGAGGAGGGGGTCAATGGGGGAAAAATGATGAACATCTGTAATACATTCAACAATAAAGATAAATTTAATTAAAAATTTTTTTAAAAAAGGAAAGTTTTCATTGATTCCCATCTTGGTTAAAGCCACAATTAAATAGACAGCAAATGAAAAGCAGGGCCTCAGCGAGCCCACAGGGCAACTTGGTAAAAGTGAAACAGAAAAGCCAGTGTGTGCAATAAGCCACCTGCACAGCAGCACGAAGAAAACGGATATAGATGCAGACTTCATCACACGAAACACCCGCATTGATTATTTGGCATGTCTCTGGGTCTCCAGTGTCATTTGGGGGCATCGACTGGGAGTCCAGTGTTCTAATGCCACCTTGTAAGAATTGAACTTCCCCCAATTAAGAAAATTCTATCATTTATGCCTATTGCAGGATGTTTAAAGCAAAAGAGAAGGTTGGCTAGCTTACAAACCTAATCAGAAACCTTTTATATCCTCACTTATGTCTCCCTTATTAGGTACCTAAGTGTGGTCAGGAAGATCACTAACTTTAAGGGCAAAAGAGCAAATTGATGAAATTGCAATATTTTCCTATTTCCCAAATTCCATTTCCAGTTCAAATTCCACTTTCTCATGTTAATCAGGAAGCGCTGATCTATGGAAAAGTCTTTTTAATTTGATCATCTTCACTTCTGACAAATCAGAGAAGATCTCTAAAATCCCTTTAGGTACTTCAGGCCAAATCTGGTTTGCTAATATTCCACGTATATGGCAAAAATATTCAATTTATAAATTCCTAAATTTTAAAAGTATGTATGCATTATGTTCCTAGAAGAGAAAGAACAACTATAGATGACAAGACTTCAAAATCAGGTTTTTTTAGACTTAATGCAATTATTAAAATTTCAACAGTTTTTTGTTTGTTTGTTTGTTTGTTTGTTTTATTAATCTTCACCCAAGGATATTTTTCCATTGATTTTTAGATAGAGTGGGAGGGGGGAGAGAGAGAGAGAGAGAGAGAGAGAGAGAGAGACATCGATGTGAGAGACACACCGATTGGTTGTTTCCTGAATGACCCCAACTGGGGCCGGGGCTCGAACCCGCAGCCCAGGTACATGCCCTTGACCAAGAATTGAACCCAAGACCCTTTGGTCCTCAGGCTGATGCTTTAACCGATGAGCATCAGCCAGGGCCCAACAGTTTTTTGTTTTGTTTTTTTCTTTTTTTTTCTAACAGTTTTTTTACTTGAGAGAGACACTAAATTAATTTGGAAGAAAAGCAGGTGTGATTACCAAAACAAAAAAATAAGTAAAAATAAAAGCCCTTATAATAATAATGAGGAAAGGAAGATTGAAATATATATACATGTAGCCCTGGACAGTTTGGCTCAGAGGTTAGAGCGTCGCCTGCAGACCAGAGAGTCCTGGGTTCAGTTCCTGCTAAGGGCATGTACCTTGGTTGCAGTTTGTCCCCAGCCCCAGTTGGGGTTGTGTGGGTGGCAACCACTCAATGTTTCTCTCTCACGTTGATGTTTCTCTCTCTCTCTTCCTCCCTCTCTCCCTTCCGCTCTATCTGAAGATAAATGCAAAAATGTCCTCAGGTAAGGATTTAAAAAAAAAAGAAATACATATACACATATATGGAATAAGAGAACATCAATATATATATTGCATAAAGAAATTTAATATGGAGAAAAAATACAAAGATATCATCACAAAACAAAGTAGATAAAATATTCAAAAATAAACTTCAAAGAAATGTGTAGGATCTACATGAAAAAATTTTAAAAACCTTACAAATAAAATGAAAGCCACTTATAAAGTTCCTGAATGGGCCAGTCAATATTTTCTTTTTCTTTCTTTTTTTTTTTTTTCATTATTTTTTAAGCCTGACTTCTTTCCTTTTTTTAAATTTATCTTTATTGTTGAAAGTATTACAGATATTTTCCTCTTTTTCCCCCACTGACCCCCTCCTCCTCGCTCCCGACCCACCTCAGTCAATATTTTCAGTGTTTATTTCTTCCCCAAATTAATTAATAAATTTAAAGCAATTTCTGTCAAAAACTCCAATTCGATTTATTGTAAAGTGTGACAAAACAATTCCTACTTAATCTTGAAGACAATGAACATTTTGAAATTTAAAAAAGAAAGAAGAAAGAAAGAAAGAAAGAAAGAAAGAAAGAAAGAAAGAAAGAAAGAAAGAAAGAAAGAAAGAAAGAAAATGAGTAATGAGGAAAGTCCTGACCTACTTGATAATAAAAAGCTGCGTCTATTAAAATGATAGACAGCCCTGGCCGGTTTGGCTCAGCGGTTAGAGCATCCGCCTGCGGTCCGGAGAGACCTCGGTTCGGTTCCCGCTAAGGGCATGTGCCTCCGTTGCAGTTTGTCCCCAGCCCTGGTTGGTCGTGCGGGTGGCAGCCACTCGATGTGTCCCTTTCACATCGATGTTTCCCTCTCTCTCTCTTCCTCTCTCTCCCTCCCACTCTGTCTGTACAGAAAATGGAAAAATGTCCTCGGATGAGGATTAAAAAAATAAATACATAAATAAATAAAATGATAGACAGAAATAAACAAAGAGATCTGGAACAGAACACAGTACAAAGACAGAACTAAATATATACAGAAATTTAGTACATAACAAAACATGGTATTTCAGTCAGCAAAGAATGGGTAAAATCTTTGATAAACATCATGAGGAATAGTTGGTTAATAAGAAAAAAAATTTAGAAAAAAAATTATGTTGCATCCTGTGCAGCCAGTGTGGCTCAGTGGTTGAGTGTCAACCCATGCACCAAGAGGTCACCAGTTCGATTCCTGGTCAGAACATATGCCCAGGTTGTGGGCCAAATCTTCAGTGGGGAGCATGCAGGAGGTGGCCAATTGATATTCCCTCTCATGGATGTTTCTATCTCTCTCTCCCTCTCCCTTCCTCTCTCTCTAAAATCAATAAAGAAAAAAATTTTTTTTTAATTATGTTGCATCCTCACTTCACACCAAATTAAATTCCACATGTGTTATTAATGTTGAAATAAAAGCAGGTGGAACTATAGAAGTGCCAGAAGAAAACATAAATGAATATTTAACCATTCCTGGGGTGGAGAAGCCTAAAGGTGACATCAAAGGCAGAAACCATAAAGGAAACAGTTGATACATTTAATCACATAAATGGTAAATTGAAATTGATCAGCAACTAACAGAGGTCATATTAAGACAAACGTCTTTTTTATTTAAAAAATTTTGTTTAATATGTTTTTATTGATATTTTAGAGAGAAAGGAAGGAAGAGGGAGTGAGAAATAGAAACATTGATGAGAGAGAAACATCAATCAGCTGCCTCCTGCACGCCCCCTACAGGGGATCGAGCCACAACCCAGGCATGTGCCCTGACTGGGAATCAAACTGGTGACCTCTTAGTACATGGGATGATGCTCAATTCACTGAGCCACACCAGCCAGACTAAGACAAATTTCAAACAGAGTACAAATATATACATGTGATAAATATACGTTAATATACTTTACATCAATTATTATTGAAAATCATTTAAAAATCCAAAGGAAAATTGGCATAACACATGGCATTAGTCAAATTTGCTGCACACAAAACAACCCTAAAATCTCAGCGACTTACAAAACATTGATTGAGTTCTCCCTCATGTTACATGGGGGCTATGCATTAATTGTGTGTCTGCTCTGTGTCTTCTCAGGACCCCAGGCTGAAGGAGAAATCCCTATAGGGGGTAGGTAGTTCTCATGGCACAGGGCAGAAGCACAAGAGAGGCTGAACCAAATCATGCCATTGCATTGAAAATTTCTGCTTCAACAAGGCGTATGTCATATTCACTAGTAACCCATAGGACAAAATAAATCACAGGGCCAAAGATGGTGCCCAACCTCTATGGTTCACTTAGGACTAAAAGGGCTTCCAGGATGAGAGACTTTCACTTTCAAAACCAGGAAAAGTTTCCAACAAACCAGGATGAGTTAACCACCCTACATGGCCAAAGTCCAAAATCAATGGCGCAGGAAATTGAAGCCACTGAAGGAAGTTGGGTGATAGTTTCAAACAAAAATACAATCTACCATATAGACTTAAATGTCTTTCTACAGACAATATGAAAATCAAACAAATCTATATTATAATGATGAGATCCCCCTTTTTTGTTTTTTGGTTTACTCTCATATTAGTAAAGTTCAAAAAGAGTAATATTCAGTAAGGGTATAAAGAATTGAGCCTTCCTCTTATACACTGTGAATGAGGATCTAAATTGGTACAGATCCATAAGCCTTATCAGAAAATTCTGAGAATAGATGAAAAGTTAAAATTTGGAATTTTTTTTATTATAGAAAAGTAATAAAGAACACTTTCCATATATTATAAAACACCTCAAAAGCAATCCATAATCAAACACAGTCCAAGTGGAATAAAGACTAGAAATAGCCACAGCTTTATGAAGATTTTTCAATTTTCAAAACTTTTGGAAAAGGACTATAATAGACACAAACTTATGAAGAAATCTAAATTTTCAGAACTTTTTGGATTTCAGAGTTGTAGATAAGGGATCATGAACCGAAAAACCTTTCGCAATATACATTATATGTTAAAAGTCTGAAAAACATACCTATTTATCAAACAAGAAAATTTGCACCTAGGCACTTGTTTAAAAAAATAAATTTTAAAGATTTCCATCACAGTATTGTTTGTATCAATACACTGGAAATTATTTTCTATTATTGTTCAGACTCTGTGTTGCTTTTAAGAGTACAGAATAGCCCTGGATGGTTTCGCTCAGCGGTTAGAGCATTGGCCTGCGGTCCAGAGAGACCCGGGTTCGGTTCCCACTGAGGGTATGTACTTCGGTTGCAGTTTGTCCCTGGCCCTGCTTGGGTCATGCAGGTGGCAGCCACTCGATGTGTCCCTTTCACATCGATGTTTCTCTCTCTCTCTCTCTCTCCCTCCCTCCCACTCTATCTGAATAAAATATCAAAAAATGTCCTCGGGTGAGGATAAAAATTTTTTTAATAAAAGAGTACAGAATATATAAAAATGTCCACAGTATATTTAAAAGTTAGATTAAAAATAATGTGACTGCCCTAGCCAGTTTGGCTCAGTGGTTAGAGTGTCAGCCCGTGGACTGATGAGTCGTGGGTTCAAGTGTGGTCAAGGGCACGTACCTCAGTTGCCGTTCGTCCCCAGCCCTGGTTGGGGTCGCACGGGAAGCAACCAATTGATGTGTCCCTTTCACATCAATGTTTCTCTCTCTCTCCCACTCTCCCTCTCTCTCCCTCCCACTCTAGCTGAACAAAAATGGAAAAATGTCTGGTGTAAGGATTAAAAAATAATAGTAATAATAAAATGATGAGACTATAAGATTCAATTCATTTAAAGTTCAAAAACAAGCAAAACAGCCCAAGTGTTCATCAGTAGACAACAAATGGATAAAAAAGCTGTGATACATATACACAATGGAGTACTATGCAGCTGTAAGAGAAAGAAAGATCTCTTATCCTTTGAGACGACATGGAGGGACCTGGAAAGTATTATCCTAAGCGCAACAAGCCAAGCAGAAAAAGATAAATACCACATGATCTCACTTATTTGTGGAATGTAATGAACATAACAGTCTGAGGAATAGGGTAGACCCAGAGACGTGGAAGTAGGGTACAGACTGACAACCCTCAGAAGAGGGGGTGGTGGGGGGAGGGAAGAGATAAACCACAGAACTTATATGCATGTACGCATAACCAATGAACACAGACAACAAAGCCGGGGATGGGGTGGGGGGAATGGAGAGGAGGATGTCAATGGGGAAAAAAAGGAGAAACATCTGTAACAAAAATAATTAAATTTAAAAAAAAAAAAAAAAAGCAAAACTAATCTATGGTGTTAGAAAACAGGATAGTGGCTACCCTGGTGGTTTCGGGGCAAAGGGAGATTCTGTTTCTTGACCTAAGGACTGGTTATGCAGTATGTTCATTTCATCAAGTGATACATTTATGATTTATGCACTTTCCTGCATGTATGTAAAATTTTTAAAAAGAAAGTATGTAAAGGCTAATGCTTTCTTCAAAAAATAATTACTATATACAGTACATTGAAATGTCCACATTAATAATAGTCACTCCAAGAAGTGGGAAATTTTCTTCATGCCATTCTATATTGTCAATATAATTGTTAATATATATTATACTGTCTGAATATTTCTCTTAACAATGAAATGTTAAGAGAAATCTACTACCTTTATGATAAAACAAAACAAAACATAATCCATACTGCAAAAGCTGCAGTGAAAATGGTGTCCTCATACAGTTTTCCAAAAGGGTAAACTGGTCCAGACGGTGTGGCTCAGTGGTTGAGCATCGACCCATGCACCAAGAGGTTGCTGGTTCTATTCCCGGCCACAACACATGCCCAGGAGTGTGGGCCCGATCCCCAGTCAGAGGCATGCAAGAGGCAGCCAATTGATGTTCTCTCTCATCGATGTTTCTCTCTCTCCCTCTCACTTCCTCTCTCTCTCTAAAAATCAATAAAGGAAAAGAAGAAAAAAATTTTTTAAAAAAAGGGTGAACTGATTTGGAATGTCATCAGCAATCTGAACAGTGCATCAACGACCATGAGAACATTCACATATTCAGAACATATGATCCAGCAACTCTTCTGCAACTCAATCCTAAAAAAAATTAACCAACAGCCTGGCCAGTGTGGCTCAGTGGTTGAGCGTTGACCCATGAACCAAGAGGTTGCCGGTTCAATTCCTGGTCAGGGCAGATGCCCAGGTTGTGGGCCCAATCCCCAGTGGGGAGCATGCAGGAGGTGGCTAATTAATGTTCTCTCTCATCGATGTTTTCTCTCTCTCTCTCCCTCTCCCTTCCTCTGTCTAAAATCAATAAAGAAAAAAAAATTTTAAAAAGAAAGAAATTAACCAACATACAAGAAACAACTGCAGTTTAGCCCAGTGCTTTTATAAGAGAGGGAGTGGTTCTCTTTCATACCGTGCTCATAAGGTGAAAAAGTGCCTGCATCAATGTTGATATAGGGGTCGATTTTGATGGCGGTAACTCGGAGTCCACATGATTTTAGAATCGCCCCAATGCTGCTTGCAATGATCCCTTTCCCAATGCTTGAGATGACCCCACCTGTGACCAGGATGTACTTCATTGGCTTAGAAATGGCTGGATGCCAGCTCCCAGATAGAATCTGAAAGATAATAAAATTAAGGGTCAGGGAAGAGAAACATTTTCTCAAACCAGTACAGCAGAGAGTGTGTTAAACCAAAATTTCAAAAACACACATTTTTCTATCTAAACTAAACATCTGAAACTTGTTTTTAATTTTTTTAACCCTCAGATATTTTTTTATTGATTTGAGAGAGAGGAAGAGAGAGAGAAATATTAATTTGTTGTTCCATCTATTTACGTATTCATTGGTTGATTCTTATATGTGCCCTGACTGAGAATCCAACCCACAACCTTGACATATCCAGAGGACGCTCTAACCAACTGAGCTACCTGGCCAGGGCTGAAACTTTTGAAACAAAGTCTTATCCTCTAGATCTTTAATTTTGGTCAATATTCAGGAAGCTGTGGCTATTTTCTGCAAGCAGAGGGGCTGACTCCATTGCCCTGATTTTCCAGTTACCCTCTGTCATATGACAAACTTCATCATGAGAAAACAAATTTCTCTGGGATTCAGAGGCACAGTAAAATTTATAAGAGATCAGGTGTTATTTCAGACAGAGCTGTACAAACTGTACCTGGGCAGGTTACTAATCCATTTTGTGCCTGTTTCTTTATTTGTGAAATGGGATAAAAATACCAGTCCCTTAAAATAGTACTCAGCACTAAAAAGAAATGAACTGTCAAGCCATGAAAAGACATGGAGGAAACGTAATGCATATTACTGAGTGAAAAAAGCCAATATGAAAAGGCTATATACTGTAGGATTCCAAATATGTGACACTCTGGAAAAAGCAAAGCTATGGAAACAGCAGAGATCAATGGAGCCCTGGCCAGAGTAGTTCAGTGATTAGAGAATTGACCTGCACACCAAAGAGTCACAGGTTTGCTTCCTGGTCAAGGGCACCCACCCGGGTTTCAGGTTCCATCCCTGGCCCCAGTGGGAAGGGTGGGGGGAGAAATGCCAGAAGCAACCAATCAATGTGTCTCTCTCACATCATTCTCTCTCTCTCTACCACACCCCCCCCATGGGTCAATGCTCAACCTCTGAGCCACACTGGCCAGGCTTGGCTGGCCAGGCTGGGTCTGCCTTTTTTTTTTATCCACCCCCGAGGACATTTTTGCATTTATCTTCAGGTAGAGTGGGAGGGAGAGAGGGAGGAAGAGAGAGAGAGAACATCGATGTGAGAGAGACACATGTTGCCACCCACACGACCCCAACTGGGGCCGGGAACAAACTGCAACCAAGGTACATGCCCTTAGCGGGAACTGAACCCAGATCTCTCTGGATCGTGGGCTGACACTCTAACCTCTGAGCCAAACCGGCCAGGGCTGGATCTGCCTTTTAATACACAGTACACTTCATCTCCTTCAATGCCACCCGGTCATCCACTCACCAAGCTGGTTTAGCTTAAAAGATTCTCAGTCTGCCCTGGCCAATTTGGCTCAGTGGTTAAAGCTCGGCCTGTGGTCTGGAGAGACCCGGTTTGGTTCCCGCTAAGGGCACGTACGTACCTGGTTGCAGTTTGCCCCCAGCCCTGGTTGGGTGGTGTGGGTGGCAACCACTTGATGTGTCCCTTTCACCTCGATGTTTCTCTCTCTCTCTCTCTCTCTCTCTCTCTCCCCCTCCCACTCTATCTGAACAGAATATTGAAGAATGTCCCCGGGTGAGGATAAAAAAAAAGATTCTCAATCCAGCCCTGGCTGGTTTGGCTCAGTGGTTGGAGTGTTGGCCTGCGGACCAGAGAGTCCCAGGTTCAGTTCCTGCTAGGGGCACATACCAAAAAAAAAAAAAAAGATTCTCAATCCAAACCCAGAATGCAGATCCAAAATATATGTGAATGTTTGTTTCTTTCCACTTCTACTGGCCCAGGTACTCACTATAGTAGTCATTTCTTCATAGCCTTTTCCTACCCATTCCACTGGTGATTTCTTCTACTGTGAAAAGTACCCCTCCTCTGGAGTCAGACAGCCTAGATTCAAATGCTGGCTCTGTCATTTACAGCTATGACCCTAGGCAATTTCTTCAACTTTTCTAAACCTTGATTTTCTCCATAAGTACACAGAGATCATAACAGTGCCTACCTTATAAAGGTGTGTGGGCATTTGTGAGATAGTACCCAAGTGCTAAAAGATAGCTGTTACCATTTTCCAGAGCCATCTCCTCACTGATTCAATCAGCTCACAAATGTTTACTGAATGTCTATTATATATGCTTAACATGTTCCTAGGTCCAGGGATTTGGGGATGAACAAAAAGTCAAGGTCCCTGCCCTCTTGGATTTCACCTTTCCTATGTAATTAAGGGGCAAATAAATGAGCAGTGCTGTAATACTACCTTATTAGGGTATTGTCACACTATTCAAATGACTTCCCATTTGTAAAAGTTAGTAAAATAAAATTTTAAAATGCCATAGAAAACTGGAGCATATTCACGTGAAGTCATATTATGTGGTTGTCAAAAAGTCTAAGAATGTTTTCTCTTTTTTTTTAGCTAGAGTGAAAGGGAGGGCAGGGGAGAGAGAGAGGCGAAAAAAACATCGATGTGAGAGAGATACATCAATTTGGTTGCCTCCCACACAACCCCAACCAGGGCCAGGATCAGCCTGCTGCAGGTTCGTGCCCTTGACTGGGAATCAAACCTTTTATCCTTTGGTCCCCAGGCCAATGCTGTAATCACTAAGCCAAACTGATCAGGGCAAAAAAAGCCTAAGGCCCTGGCCGGTTTTGCTCAGCGTTTAGAGCGCCAGCCTGCGGTCCGGAGAGACCCGGGTTCGGTTCCCGCTAAGGGCATGTACCTCGGTTACAGTTTGTCCCCAACCCTGGTTGGTCATGCGGGTGGCAGCCACTTGATGTGTCCCTTTCACATCGATGTTTCTCTCTTTCTCTCTCTCCCTCCCACTCTGTCTGAACAAAAAATGGAAGGATGTCCTCAGGTGAGGATAAAAAAAAAATTATTAAAAAAAAAGCCTAAGAATTTTTCATACAAGATATGCTTATGGTATGTGAACAGAGTAGGATATACAATTGAACATATTATCTCACTTATGGTTTGTTTGTTTGTTTGTTTTTAGAGAGAGTGAAAGGGAGGGAGGGGGGGAGAGAGGGAGAGAAAGAGAAACATCGATGTGAGAGACATATGGACTTGTTGCCTTCTACACACTCCCTGACTGGGGCCAGGAATCGAACCTGCAACCCAGATACATGTCCTTCACCGGGAATCAAACTCACAACCCTTCCATGTGCAGGCCAACGCTCTGACCACTGTGCCACACTGCCAAGGCACCAGTGTTTTTTATTTTGTTTTGTTTCAAGACTGGTCAAAAGTATACCAAAATGCTAAATTTTAATATATTTAGGTGACTGGGGTGTAGGCAATTACTAGTTTTCTATATTTTCAAAAGCACAAGATACCTTTGTAAAGCACATTAGATATTTTACAAGGTCCTTGTTGAAAATGTCACTTAACACCAAAGATAAATCTAGTCCTTTTTACTTCTTTTAAGCAAAGAAGTAAGTTTGAAGCAGTTTTAAAACTGCAGGAAGAGGAAAGACAGGCTCTTCAGGCTACTTCCTTGAATGCAGATGTGGTTTTTGGTTTTTTTCCGTGTGAAGACACGTTTTCATTACTCTCATATGCAGTGAGCAGAACCAATAGTCTGTAAAATGGGAATGTGTAGGGCTGCCCTGTCTCCTGTCCAATAAAAACATTACAAGAGCCACCAATGTGATTCTGAATTCTCTACTAGCCATATTAAAAAAGAAACAGATGAAGTTAATTTTAATAATTGTATTTAACCCAATTCATCTAAAATACTTTCATTTTAACATATAATCACTACAAGAATTTATTAGTGAGATATTCTACATTCTCTTTTTATTTCTTTCTCTCTTTTTTTTTTTTTTTTGACGACTAAGTCTTCCGAGATTAGATGTGTCTACCCACAGCACATCTCAACTGGGACCCACCACATTTTCAGTGCCCAAGAGCCACATGCTACGAGTGTCTGCCACCCTGGTGAGTGCAGGCCTAAAGCAACTAAAAACATTAGAAGCACCAAGAGATACCTAGTCAATGACAACCGTTTACAATGTAATATTAGAAACAAGAGTACTTACTGAATGATCCCATTTTATGAAGTTCTCAAACAGGTGAAACAAAGCTATGATAGCTATCAAGGAAGTGTGGGGGGCTGGGGAGGATTGTCTGGAAGGGACAGAAGGGAACTTTCTGGAGTGATGGAAATGGTCTAGGTCTGCATCAGGGTAGTGGTTCCACGGGTGGATAATTTGTCAGACCCTAATCTGTAGATTTAAAAAGGGGACATTTTATGGCATGTAAATTATACATAAAAATTTTTTAAGTTGTTGCAAAAAGAAAGCTATTTTGAAGCAGCAGCGTACTTCGGAACAGCGCGCCCTGAGGCGCTCCTCTGGGGTAACCGCGAGGGTAGTTGTTTAACGAGTGCACTGGGCGAGGGAACAGAAAGGCCCTTTCACTCCGCGGGGCTTCACTTCCGCCAACGCCATCTCGGGAGTCCCGAGGCCCGGGAGAAATGGGGCGGAGAGAAGCGCACCCCCGGAGACGCGACAATACCCACCCCAGATCGCAGCCACCGCAGGGCGGGCTCCGATGGCCCTGGGCACCGGCTCAGTGGCCCCGGCCCCGCACCCCTTGGGTCTGTGCGCGCGGGGTACGGGGATGTGCCTGGCCGCCAGCCGCAACTCGGACTGGGCAGGAGCACCATCGGGAAAGGGACAAAGGCCCCCGTCCTCACGCCCACCGCAGGGCTGGCAGCGAGGGTGGAAAGGCCCTGGGGACGCGGGGTGGCCCCGGCCGGAGGCCCTAGGGATCCAGTGAAGAGCCGGGCGGGGGATTACCTGCGGAGTGGTGACGGTGCCAGGAAGGTGGCGGGTGGGGACGGTGGGCTCCGTCCTGCGGCTGGCCTGCGCTCACCTGTGGGGCTGGGTAGAGGGCGGCCGCTAGGGGTGTCCCGGAGTCGCCCCCGGGTCCTTCCCACAGCCGGTGCAGGCCTCGGGGTGCACGGCCTCCTCTTCGTCCACCTTTCCCTCTCCTGCCGCCAGCCCGCTGACTCACGCTGGTGAGCTTGAGGTTTGCACCAGGTTTGTGCAATGCAACAAAACCAGAGCCTAAAAAGTGACTCCTCCGGTACAAATAACTTACTGTCACCCTCCGCCCTGGAGGCACTTGGCCGCAGGCCTCGCTCTGCCCCAGGACTGCTCCTCCCCTCCTCAGCTCATTTAGCAAAGGCCCGACTGGAACCCAAGCGAACACCAAGTTCCCACCTACCGAGCCCAGGCCTCTTAGCACTCTGAGCCCCTTGTTTGGGTCCTCCCGTCCTGTCCTCTGCAAAGAGCCTCACCCTGTCACAGACGTTTGTGGGTCCCCTGCTGCGCTCCAGGAACTGCAGAATCGCTGAAGGGAGAACCAAAATAAAACGGGGTTTCTCCTTTAAGGGACTCACAGTCTAGGGGGAGGTTACACATCTGTTGAAATCAGTAAGGTTCCTAGAACAATACCCGTGTAGGGAAAAAAAATGTATTGGGGGGCAGACAATTAGAACTTCATAAATGAAGTGACTATTTTTAGAGGATGGTTTGGTCCTGGGAAAAGACACAGCAGTTTGTTAAGGTGAAGGGAAGAACATACCCAAACCACTGAGGGAGAAAAGATCTAACTATGGACAATGGAAGGATTTGGAGTGAAATGAAAAGGTTAAGAAAGTGGTAAAAAAATTGAATAACTAGTGTAAGTCACTAGAGTGCCAAATTAGGCAAGTGTCACTGAACACCTAGTGGAATTTAGAAATCATAATTGTGTAATGATGTCCAGATATAATTTCACAGGATATCTACAGGTAGGTATATAAATATGATATTTATGACAAAACCGGAGTTGAAGTGGAGTAGAAAGACAAGAGAGTGAGGAAGTTGAGGGCACTGAAAAAAATGTGATTGTAGAAATGCACCAGGGCTCTAGTTCACAGAGGAAAGAAATGGAGAGCAGCAGGAAGCTGATAGACCTGGAGAAAGAGAAGGGACCAATGACAAGGGCCTGTGGAAATGAGGGAATTGGCAAGTTGTCATCACAGCGTGGTGTTGAAGTCATCAAAGGGGAAGGACTTCAGATGATGTGGTTTAGGGTATGATGACTAAAACAGAGTCAAGTGAAATGGGCATTGCTGGAATTGGGTCCAGCGCCCATCAGGCCAATGTAAGGGACATCCAAGGGATGGTAGAATTTGGAAGAGTCAATTGAGGCCAAGAAACCAAGTCTTCAGTGAATGTGAAAGAGTGACCCTGGAACTAATAGATGACAGCAATAAGGTAGGGTAGAGGGTTGTATGGAAAAATTAAATATTTCAAAACAAAAGGGAGTTTCTCCCCCAACTAAGGATGACAGAACAGTGTTGTGGGAGAAGTAGTAAGGATCTAGAGTTAGTGATGTCAATTTCTGGGAAAATGGGCAGAGGCTCCACTCAACTGGAACCAGAGGAGAGACTCAAGCCCCCTCAAAGGCCAATAAATAAATTTAATTAATTAATTAATTAATTAATTAAAGGAGAAACACCTTGCAAAAAGGCTAGAGGCACCCTGGCCGGGTTGCTAAATGGTTAGAGTGTCGGCCCATGGAACAAAGAGTCCGAGGTTCAATTCTAGCCAAGGGCACGTACCTCAGTTGCAGTTCATCCTCAGCCCCAGTCAGGTTCATGTGGGTGGCAACCAATCGATGTGTCTCTCTCACCTTGATGTTTCTCTCTCTCTCTCTCTCTTCCTCCCTCTCTCCCTCATGCTCTATCTGAAGATAAAGGTAAAAATATCCTTAGGTGAGGATTAAAAAAAAAAAAAAAGGCTAGAGGCATAGAAGAGTTTGCTATGAAACAAGTCTTCCAGAGGACATGATAGAAAGGATGTTTGTGGAATGGATTAAAACGAGGATAATAGTTAATACCTGCCATGTATACCAGGTGTTCTTCCACATTTCAGTACTTCATTTCCTTTTTACAACCAGGACAGATACGTTCTTTTCCTTTTTTGTAATAAAGAACCTGAGGCTTAGAGATGTGAAGTGCCCTGACCAAAGGTACATTAGTGAATATAAGTAACAAAACCAGGATACTGTGGGGAAGAAAAATAATTTTAATTTTTCCTCCTACCTTTTTAAGTTCTTCTGGCTAGACTAATCAAATTAATACAAGATAGATTAACAGGAGAAAATTACCAAATGTATTATTTATATGCATGTGGAAGTTCCATAAGAATATGAAACCTGGGAACAGATATGGTAGTTAAGGTTTATATGCCATCTTGAGCTAAGGTAGGGTGGTGTTTGGGGGACCCTTCAAAGGCCAGGAAGGCAATTCACATGGAGATGGAAAAACAAATGTTTGGTAAATATATGTTTGCTGGGCTATCTTTAACAATGTGACACAAAGAGGACTTTGATCAAACAGGCCTTGCTAGGTTCTTCCCTGCCTATCATACACTGGTTTATATTCAACTAGTTATCTGATGATATCTCCCTTCCTAGAGGAAGTCCTCTGTCTAAATTCTTTTAGGCAGTTAGGGGGGAAGGTCAAAGCTTCTTCCTGAGTCTTTTGTTTCTTGAAAATAACTGGCTTAAAATATCCCAAAAGGCATATTTTGGGGTGGCAAACTACTTTCCCTTGACATCAATACAAAATATGTTCCCAAAGCCACTCTTCACACAGGATGTAGGTCCTCAACTTTTTCTTATTCTATTAATCTGTGAGGCTAATAGAGGAAAGATATTTTGTGAATATACAGGGGTTCTTATGACAACTTTTCTATTTTTTTTTTATCCTCACCCAAGGACATTTTTTTTCCTTCATCTTTAGATAGAGTGGGAGGGAGAGGGGGAGGGGGAGAAGAGAGAGAGAGAGAGAGAGAAGAGTCAATGTGAGAGAGACACATCAGCTGGCTGCCACCCACATGACCCCAACCAGGGCCAGGGACAAACCACAACCGAGGTACGTGCCCTTAGTGGGAACTGAACCCAAGACTCTCTGGTCTGCGGGCCAACGCTCCAAACACTGAGCCAAACCAGCCAGGGCAACTTTTGTATTATTAATCCAAAATGGAAAAAAAGGTGAGCAGGAAAATAAATTTGATAACAGGTTTGATATTGACTGATTTGTGTGGGATAAAGGTGTGTCTTGATTCAACAAGTGTTTATTCATGTCCTACAACCAGCATTGCATTGAGGATGAAAAAGAAGCCCACCATTAAGTTGATTTGTTGGTGTTTGTTTTTGTTTTTCATATTTTATTTCAAAGAAGTCTACCTTTCAGAACAATTATAAAACTGTCTGTCCCCTGGGGAACACAGCATTCCCCCATTGTTTTGGGTGCTCCTGGAGATAAAGCAAAAGTAAGGCTGAATGGGCTGGGCCCAACCTCTGATATTTTCAGGGTCAGTATTATATTCTTTTTGGAGATGAGGAAACCTGAAGAGTAAGTAGTCAAAGGTGTTCACCCATTATCTTTTTAAAAAATTTAGAGAGAGAAAGGAAGAGAGAGAGAGAGAAACACCATGCTCTGTTGCCTTCTGAATGCAATACATGCCCTGACTAAGAATCGAACCTGCCACTTCTTGCTATAAGGGACAACACTCCAACCAACTGAGGCACACTGGCCGGGGAAAAGGTATTAACCTATTAGATGATGGAGTTAGAACGCCACTCCTAGGCTTCCGACTGAAATTCCAGGCTCATTCCAATCACACTTAAACCAAATATCCCTATTCTGGAAAGTACTGACCACTTTCAGGATCTCATTCACTTAATAAATCCTAGAAAGGCATTGATCCTCGGATGTCACCTGACTTTCAAGTAACTGAGACTAATAGCCTCCAGGCAAAAAGATAGAGGATAACTGAATGACTCCTGGGCTTGCAAATCTACCCAGGAAATTAGACTTGACAGTGGGTCCTCCCACACTCATCCAAACCCAGTAAAGGGAACAACAAACTGTGGAAAATCAACACCCACAAAAAAAAAAATTGGCAGGCTCCAAAACCCACTGAGATAGCCAAAAGGGTAAACAAAGAAACAAATCCCAAATGGAAGAACAAGAGAACTTTACTGAAGATGATATAAATGAAATGCAGTTAAGCAAGTTATCAGAGGTAGAGTTCAGAGCCATGATCTTGAGGAAGCTCAACAGCATGAATAAGGACATCAACACCGTAAGTAAAGATATAAAAACACTGAAGACCAACCAAGTGGAAATAAAGAATGACATAGCAGAAATAAAGAACACATTGGAAGGTATAACCAGCAGAGTAGAGGAAGCTGAGGACCAGATCAGTGAATTAGAAGACAGGGTAGAAAAAAAATCACCCAATCAGAAAAAAAAAAAAAATTAAAAAGCAGGAACACAGCTTAAGAGAACTGTGGACAACAGTAAATGTAACTAAATTCAAATCACAGGAATTCCAGAAGAAGAAGAAAATGAGCAAAGGTTAGAGAATATAATTGAAAAAATTGTGACAGAAAACCTCCCTAACGTAGGGAAGGAAAAAGGCATTCAAGTTCAAGAAGCACAGAGAGCCCCAAGTAACAAGAACCCAAACAGGCCCACACCAAGACACACAATAATTAAAAGGCCATAAATTGAAGACAAAGAGAGAATCCTAAAGGAAGCAAGAGATAAGCAACAGGTTACCTACAAAGGAACCCCCATAAGTCTAACAGCTGACTTCTCAACAGAAACAATACAGGCCAGAAGAGAATGGCATCAAGTAATCAAGGTCATGAAAAACAAGGACCTGAATTCAAGACTACTCTATCCAGCAAGGCTATTATTCAAAATAGAAACTGAGCCCTGGCCGGCTTGGCTCAGCGCTTAGAGTGTCGGCCTGCGGTCCAGAGAGACCCGGGTTCGGTTCCCACTAAGGGCATGTACCTCGTTTGCAGTTTGTCCCCGGCCCTGGTTGTTCGTGTGGGTGGCAGCCACTGGATGTGTCCCTTTCACATTGATGTTTCTCTCTCTCTCTCTCTCTCTCTCTCTCTCTCTCTCTCTCTCTTTCTCTCTCTCTCTCCCTCCCTCCCTCCCTCTCTCCCACTCTGTCTGAACAAAAAATGGAAAAATGTCCTCGGGTGAGAATAAAAAAAAAAAAAAATAGAAGCTGAAATAAAAAACTTCCCAGGCCAAAAAAAAAAAAAAAAAAAAAGCTAAGAGAATACATTAGCACCAAACCAGCACTGCAAGAAATGTTAAAAGGACTGCTATAATTAGTAGAAGAAATAGGAAGAAA